CAACAAGCTAAAAGAGAAAGAGTGAGTGTGATGAGCACGGCGATAGGAAAAAAGGGGGAGGGACTGTGGGAGGAGAGGAGGAGAGACATGAAGGCATGTTTGCAGGAGAAATGAGGAGGAGGAGGAGAAAATAGAGGCTTAAAACAAAGTGGAGGGGAAGCCTTGCAACAAAAACGGTCACTTGAGAATAGAGACGGCCTGAGATGTACTGCTTCATAAGCCTCATCCACTTTAAAGGAGCACCTGTGAGGGATAACTGCAGCCCCGAACAGGACATCATATTCAACAATGGCTCAGACTGTTGTCATCCAGTGCCGCCTATCCCTCCTCCATCTCCTCTCCCTCCCACCAGGCCCAATTTGGCCCCTGCCACACTGTCTGGGTCTACCATGCGTGGTGTCAGGTGCCTTGTGGCGATAGGCAAAACGCTTTGCATGGCTGCCATGTTTCGAGGGTTTTTCAGCCATATGAGCACAAAACACAGGCAGACACACACACGCACAATGCAAAAAAATACACAGACACATACAAATAGACATCCCCACTCCTACCCCCCTCCTCTTTGGGCGTCTGATTAACGAATGAAGGGCCCCGGCCCATCCTGCTGTACTTGCAGCAACGTCGCCCCGAATCACATGGCTGCTCGGAACCAACTGACTCACCCGCTCATTGCTTCCGACAAGGCGGGACTGGGAGGGACGATGAAGTGTGATGTCATAGTGAAGCAGGGAAGTTGTGGGGGTCCATGGACGGGTGGGGGGGGGGAGGCGTCCTTACAGTGCCACCGCCGGCACTCTTATCTCCTCAGCACCACTTCTCTTTTTCCATGTCCTCTGCCCTCTTTCTACTACCTCACACACTGATGAACCACCCCAACACACACACACACACACACACACTGCAACCGACTTGTCTAGGCCCATTGTTTATCTCACATCCTCACCCCCTTCCCCCCTTCGTGAACCTGCTCAAAAAACAAGTCTTCTGATGCCACGTCACATCCAACACCTCGACTATGCTTCCGTGAGCAAATTTTAATGAAAAGGAAAAATCTCCAACGTTTTATAAACCCCTCGGTCGCCCCACTATAAGCATAATCGGACTTGAAGTATGTTCATTTTCCTTCAAGGCCCCTGTTGTAAGTGCAGCGTGTGTGTGTGTGAGATGGAGTGCTACAATGTGCATCAGACACATGAGCTTGCACATGGAGAGAACTTAATTAGAGAAAACAGCGCTGTCAGATGCATTAGGCAGAGGTACGCACTTAAGGGCATATGGTTTTAGTAGTATACCATCGGGTTGGAGAAAAGCACACAAACATACCTCAAAGCTCCGAGCCATGCTAATGAAATCACTCCCTTTCTATCCCACTGAGAGCAAACACAAATGTTTACAGACATCACACAGTCTGTCCGTACTCCTGCACCACACTGGGCTGTCGTGAGAGTGGTAGAAGCACTGACTGTGGTGCGGCGTGTTTGTCTCAATAAAGACACTGTCAACAAGCGACAAAAGGTGAGAACAGGCGGCAAGATGTCACTCTAAAATAGTACTTTTAAATGTCGCTGCACTGTCCGTGGTTTATTTTATTCTGTCATTTTTAACCTGTATTTCAATCTCCTTTAATTATAAGCTTTTAACAGATTGCATGCATTTTAATTGAGCATTTTTATCATACTTTTCAACAAAAGTCAGCAACAGCATATCTATAAATTGACAGATGAAATAATGTTTGTCTGCAATACTCCTACTACCTGTTTGGAAAATTTGTCTTTGTGAGAAGCACACAGGGATGACGCAGGTTAAAATGCATTTTTATTTTTACATTCAGTGTGTGTGAGGTGACTCAGTCGGATGCAACCGAAATATATTTGTTGTATATTTTGAGTACACGTAACTGTCCTTCTATGTACTGCATTTATAACATGCAGTAATAATTTTAGATACTGTTTTATTATTGCAGACATTTTTCAGAAAGGCTCACTTTTAGTTTTTCTACATCCTGACACACACAGCAGACCTTTTAACACTGACCAGGGCATATTCAGGCATTGATCTGTTTTCTGTGTCGCATCCACAGAATATTACAGTTGTGTGATTTTAACTGTGGGGATGAAAGAAATCTGCTTGTGTGTTTGTTTTAGCTGATTTTTATTGTCTTTAAAACACACAATTAACTAAGTGTCTAAACCAGTTTCCTTTATCAAAACATCAAATTGTAATTATATGACAGTGTGCTAGAATGGAAACACTAGAAGAGACATTAATTGTCCATTCACTAAAAATAAAGTGAATTGAAGTGATATAATTCACTTCTTTCTGCCATCGAACACTCAACACACACTCATACAATCAATACCATTGGCACTAAGCACGCTTTACCACTTTTTTCATCCTCAAATATAACTGTGAAAAAAAATGTAGTAATGTACTAATCTACAAAATTATCCTCATTGTACGGAGTGATAATTGGTGATTAATGTACACTCCATCTATTGCTGGCAGGCTTAAGAACCGGAAAGTATGTGACCTGCAAAATCACAAATCTGTCTAAATGTATAGATAGCCAACATGCCAAAGGACGCTCTGCCACCATGCACAGTGACGGCCATTAAGATAATAATGTGACACAATCAAACATATAGCCGAGCATCTCGACATCACAGGCCTATAGGGAGGAAAAAAAAGTGACCACCCAGTCATCCGTACACAAAAGCCACCATCTCATTTATGACAATTAGGCTGTACAGAGACTGATGGAGTGCACGGCCCGAGTCCTCACATCATTGGCAGCATTTGTCACATTTCATCCCCGCTGCCCCAACTGTCTCGTGGGGCCTCGGACTAGGCATGTGTCATCAGAGGGCCAATTTAAGATGCCATGGGTGGCCTGTTGTTGTGACATGTATCTAAACTGTTGGAGAGAGACTGCGGTGGATCACTTAGTGAATCTCTAGCTTGCATAAACAGCCAGGCTCCAATGTAAAAGTCTGATCTAATGCATTCTGAACCACAGTTTGTGTAAATGAACACAAATATTAATGTACACATGAAGGAAAAGCACCTGTGAGATTTAAAGTAAGGATTTCTGAAGTTTTAGCTCATGATTGTAAAAGCTGCATGCTGTTAATTGCAAAATCATTCAATTTAGCAAAAGTGGTGGTGAAGGAGGGAAAAAAGCATATAATCAATGCAAGAGCAGCGCAGTTTAATTCAGTACTACTTTGTGGATTTCACTTGAAATTATTAGCTCATCTCTGGTGTTAATTTAATCTACAAATACACTAAACTGCTGTTTTGTTAAGCCATGTGCTTTTATTTAAAGCCAGAAAATCCCAAATTGAAATATGAAGTAACACTACTATCAAGGTTGCACCCAGCAGACTAACATCAACAAAGGTCCACCAAGTGTCATTTTGCAGGTGAAGGTGCCTGCTGTCAGAAATATAAAAACAATCAAAGACAAAGAAAACCACAACCAAACACTTGTTTCCAGGAATGCACTTCAACCATAAACTGCACAGTTAGAAAAAAGAAATATCTATATATACACACACCTTCCACTAAATGCATCCACAGCCCAACCTGCAAAAGAAAACGGGCCCTGTAACGCTCACTGAATTAAGTCTACCAAAGAGACAGGGGCAGAAATCGTGTTAATAGCTGTCCAGGGTATAAGAGCCCCGCCAAGGAAAGCCTGCAATCACCCAAATAACCAGAGACAGGTCGTGGGTGCCCCGGGCGGCTCTTGCGCCCGTCCCCTCAGCGCCACCGACCCCACTGCGTGCCAAACGGGCCCCACCAGCCTCACTGAGCTCGTTAAGACCCATCTCTTAATGTCAGAGGCTTCTCATTGAAGAAGAGAAAGTTGCCAACTCATTTTTTTTTTTTTTTTTTGGAGGGTCACTTAGAGGGTGAGAACTAGAAATCATTTTAGCAGCGTGAGATCAGATTTTCAGATATTGCAGTGGCTCCAATTTCCGGTTCCATATTTTACGCATTTGCTTTGCGTAAAGTGGATTAGATTTCATAAACTACAACATATCGTTTCCAGAACATAATTAGCAAATAATACCAATAAGCAAAAAAAAGAAAATGTGTGTTGGAAAATCAATTTAAATAAGACATAACTTTGCGATTGTGTCTGGCTTGTTAGTGCGTATTTAAAGGTGCGTTTAAAGTTGTTGTGGAAATGAAGCAAACCGGGTCCGAGCATAGATATGTGTTTTAATTATAAAGACATATAAACAATATATGAAATCCATGTTGCAACACAACCAAAAAACGCTCCTGTCAGTTCATAGGCTGTTCCTTATATAACCATTAGTATAACCGGGCTTGAAGCAAGTGATTTTTTTTTTTCCCCCGAAGTTGTACAATACAATCATGTGAGATGTGCAATCACTTCAAATTAAAAACAAACAAACAAACAAACAAAAAAAACAAACTCGTCAACACATCGTATCAGAAAATATATCAGCCAACATCACATCAGATATTTTTTTCATCCCCCACATAGCATCATACAAGTCAGTCAAGGGAAGTCTTCTCATAAATTGCTGTTTTAAATCTAAAAATCCAGATTAGATCGCATTTCTTGGCATTTCTACTTGTTGTGTTGTTGTTGTTGAATGTTGCATAGATTACAAATGAGAGCTGGAAAATAAAAATGTACCCAGAATTTGGCCTGTAGTGTCTGCAACTACGAGCGACAAAAAGTGACAGGGTGGTGGTGGTGGTGGTGGTGGTGGAGGGGGGGACAAGAAGGCCTAAACAGTTCATTGTCTATGTAGCGTTTGTTGAATCTGGATGAAACATTGCAAGTATAATTACTTAACCATATCTTAAGATTATGCATTAGACTAAAAATCGTTTTATTTTTTTCCACAGAATGATTTTTAAAAATAACTAGAGTGGGAGAAAGAGAGAGAGAGAGAGAGCGAGAGAGAGAGATGGGTGCAGTAAAGGTAAAAGTTCGGGAAAGAGAGTTAAAAACCAAATCAAGGCTTGTCGTTACAGTGTTTGAAGAGACTCGACGGTGCCCCGGAATAAGTAGTGCACTTTTCGGCACAGGTGGCGAGTGCGGAACCCGAGAAGGGGTAGACGGCAGCCTGTCCAAAGGGCGCCAGGGCGGTGGGGATCGGTGAGGTTATGGTCTGTCCCTGGTTCAGATACGCCACCAGCCGCCTCATCTCCTCCAGAGCCTGAGCCTGCATGAGGATGTAGTTCTTGGCCAGGAGGAGAGTGGCTATTTTGGAGAGTTTTCTCACCGAGGGGCTGTGGGCGTAGGGAATAACGGCGCGCAGGCCGTCCAGCGCGTCGTTCAGGTCGTGCATCCTCCTCCTCTCCCGGGCGTTGATGCTGAGCCGCAGGGATCGCTGCTCCTTGGACTTCTTGGCCAGGGCCCCCCCGGGCTTGTCGTCCCCGAACGACGAGCCCCTCTTCCGGGACTCCAGCGAGTCGAAGCCGTCCTCGTCGTCGCTCGTGTGCTCCCCGCCGCTCTCGTTGGACTTCGCGGTCTGCCCGGAGAGGAAGTCGGTGGCCGGCGTGAGCGGGAAGCGGCCGGGACTTCCAGCACCATGGCCAGCGCCAAACCCGAAGGCTGACTGGCCGTAGCGCTGCGTCAGGTCGAGGAGCGCGTCGTTGCTGATGGACTTGAGCAGGTTCTCTTCGCTGACGTTCATTTTCTCTCTTCCAGAGCAGATTCGGACCAGGAAAAGTCTACTCTTCTCCTCCTTTTTTTTTTCTTTTCTCCTTTTTCTCCCCTCGTTCTTATCTTTTGTTTGGAAGCTTGTACTCACGTAGTTCTCTCTCCAAGAGTTGCTGTTTTCTAGGAGTTCCTCTCTTCTTCCCGTTCCTCTGTCAGCGCAGTGACTCTTCAAGAAGGAGGCTGTGAGTCTGAAGCTGAGCCTCTACATGCGTTCACCTCCTCTGTGCACTGCGCTCCCCCCTTGTTGCGCGCATAGCCCACGTTCAGCAACACTTCTCTAATTGTGCTCTGCGAGACTAGAGCTACTCGTGTCCCCCCTTTTTTTTCTTCTTCTTCTTCTTCTTCTGCTTCCTTTTCGTACAGTCGCCTTTCCCTCTCTCTCGTGCGTCTTTCTTGCCCTCCCTCGCCTTGGGCAGATTGTGACTGGCGCTCTGCCCTGCTCGCAAGTTAGTAGGAGCACGCGGCCCGCCGGGATTATCTGCCCGTCCAATCAGGGGGGCGTTTTAATTAACTCGCAGAAGAGCGCAGGTCTGCTCCCAATTTTCGATCATCAAGTGAGAACTGCAACGCAAACTGACACGCAGCCCGGCCACCGTTCGCTATGTTATACATATATATGGAGACAACATGTGTACCAAACAGAACGCAGAGGTCACCTGCTTTCTGGGGGAGATTGTGCTACAAAAAACAAACACAAGTAGCCTACTTACCTGTCTGGACATCAGGAAGTGAGCCATGAGGTTTGGGTACAGAAACACACTGACAGGACATGAGGCTGGTGATGTGACCTCCTGGTTCCTGTTTTTGTTGTTGTTCTGATCTAACGTTTTTGTGTTGCATCAGTTCATTCCGACCTGATGACAGGGCAGAGGCAGACACCTTGAGTTTTAGCTGGCAGCCTGCTCTGGACAGATCCCACAGATCTTACAAAGGAACTCCTCACACTGTGCAAGTGGGGTCAGCAGCCCATTCTCAGAGACACCTTAAAAGTTGCATCTTACACTGGTCAGTCAGTGATTTAGAGAAGGACAAACACACGGTGCATCAAGGAACCAATCCTCAAAACATTAAACTCCTTCATAAGTGTGATAATTAAAGGTTTCAAACATTTAGTAGCACTTTATACAAAAACATCAGCTGCTAACTCCATCCCTGTGATCTCACTGTTGAATAAAACCCTTATAGAGGCATCAAAGGTCAAAGGTCAGTAATAGTTATCAACATTATCATATAAGTGTAACACAAGTCATGAAATAAGGCTTGTTTTGCATGTGAAACATCTCCTAAGGTTAAGAAACAGGTGTCCTGACTGTCACCACCGAAGCAACTTAATAGTGAAGAGAAGGTTGCCACTGTGTGTCCAGTGTGGCGCATTACACCACCAAGAGGCCTCCCGTGATAAACCACAGCTCCACTTTCCTTACAGTTCTCCTCATATGACTCTGTTTATGTGATGGTGCCACCCTGTGGGGGAAGCTATAAAGAAATATTGCAGCACAGTGAATAGCAGCTCAGCGAGGGTCATAGTAAAGTACATGGTTTTTTTGTCAAGAATTCAAGAGGTTTTGATTCCATTCATCAGTTAATCTCGAGGTCATGTGAAGTGTTTGGGGGAAATTTCTGAAGTCCACCTTCAAAGAAAAAGGAAAAAGAAAAAGTTTTACTTCTTCTTGCCACTTCAATTGGATGTTTGACCTTCGCCGTGCAGAATGATGCAGAGTTCAACGCTAGAGGGGCTGTTTTCACCTTCATCTGCTGAAGGGGAAACGCTTTTCTCCTCTCATCTTAAACCTGAGTGTAAAGTGGGCCGTTCTAATCATATGCAAATGTAATCGCCGTCATGCGTTTGACAGATGGCGTTATTATGTTCTTGTTAATATTATTATTATGTTGCCTTATACTGCCTTGAAAACACTCTAATAAAACTGTGATTACAGACTTGTATTAAAACTGACACATATTATTAAATGGCATTTGGTGTATAATGACTTAACTATTTAGCTGTGGATTAAGCTGTTATTCTCATTTAATGCAGTGGTGGTCAAATATTTTCAACAGTGGTTGATTTTTGCTGCATTTTAATGCATTTAGAACAATTTCTGAGTACGTTTTCTGTAGCAGTGAACTGAAACAGCAGGAAAACACCATGCAAAAACAGAAAGTAACTGGAGTAAATATCAAAAAAATAAATAAAAGAAACACAAGATGAATGGATTCATTCAGCAGCGACCTTTTAAAACTGGTCAAAAGGTGCAGTGACAACAAAGATGTGCATTTCTGAATACAGCAGCTGATCAAAACAGCCAACACAGCATCAAAACACACACAAACCAGCCTAACCAATGCACAAAATATACATATATTTTGAATTCAGAGAAAATTTCACATGACAATATAAATATAAATACACTTAGATATAGATTTTGGTCTGGCATAGTTATGGAGAGAATAAGACAATCGACTGTTCTAACAGAAGACATGTTGACTTGTCATATTAAGAGACGCACCAGTGGTATTTTTACCATGACAGTCACTCAGTAAGTCTTGATAGGGTGACAGTGATTCACTATGCAGAATATCAGGACTGTAAAAATGGGGCAGTTAAATGAAATCCAGCAGTCATTTGTTTAATTTGTCAATTTTTATCTGTATTTTTTGGGGGGGGTTGGGGGTTTGGCTGTGACATATGGAAGTTCATTGCATTCACTCAGTTAAAAAAAAAATTAGACACCCTATCTCGTATTTACAAGACAAGATCTCGTAATCATGACATCAGGATCTCATAAGTACAAGAACAAATCTTGTAATTACGAGATCAGGATTTCGTAATTACAAGATCTTTTCTTGTAAATATGAGATAGGGTGTCTAATTTTTTTTCACACACTGACATGTAAAAAAATAAAAAAAGCCCACAACTCCAAAAAGAAAACCCAATAAGACATGAGAATTTTTCACATATTGAAAGATGTAGGCTATAGCTACAATACACAGCTTCTCATTTTTTGTCAGGCAAAACTCTACAATCTCCCTGCTTCACAGATGTTAATGTGCCACTTTTTAACATCTGGTCATACAGATGTTAGAGAAAAGAAAACACTAATCGATCACTGCTGCTGCACTGCTCCCTGTGGGTTAACATTTTCTTCTTCAAAATCAGCCATCTTATTAATGAATGCGATTAAGAAACACAAGAAATGTCATAAGTCTGTCTGTCTGTCTGTCTGTCAGTGTGGCTACAAGTACAACACACTCCACTGCAGCAATGTCTTTCTGGACCATGTGATGGTTTGACACTCAAAAACGAATGTATGACACTTCAGCCAGCAGATGGCAGAAAAGTCCATGAATTGAGAAAATACTTGGAATGCATTAAAATGGACAACACATTGTTTGTCTGTAAAAGCAATTTGGTATTTCTGGGTGTCATTTTTGGTGATTACGGTCTGTTAATTCTATCCACTTGATACCTATTCGTGCTAATCGCGCTGTGGTTAAATCTAAAAAAGCCTATTTGTAAAGAAGATTTACACCAAATAAAAGCTTCGGTATGTACGTCTTCAAAAAAGAAGCAACATTACTAACTTTTAAACTACTCTCCGGAGTAACAAATGTGCCAAGTGCATGCAATTAAAGGTACAGCTTTGCTTGTCCACTGAGATCACATCCCCTAGCGTTCAGCTCACAGCACTACATTGAGTCGTCACCTTTTTTTTTTTTTTCCGGCGGGACCGGGCGCTAAAAGCTTCTGATTCACACAGAACGGAAGAAATGCAAAAGTGTCAACACGCCAACTAATAAAACATGATGCTTTTAAAGCCTGTGCTGCAGCTCCGTGTCGCCATGGCAACTGCAGGCTCAGCTGCCATGCAATGGTGGCATACCACGTTCAGCTGTGACTGTGTGCGCTGAGAGGAAGGGCCTCATGTTGCAGTGAGAGAGGAGGGCCACCATGGGGCAGGAAAGTATTTGCTATTTGGTTGCAGCCGCATTTGACAGGAACAATGCATATGTGCATGTGGACATGTGTGTGTCGATGTGTGCGTGCATGCACACATGCAGCTGCAAGCGTCCACGCTGCACATACATGCAGGCACCATAGCAGAGGTTATTTTTGGTTTTTGTGAAGAAGATGCAGTGGAATCAAAATATTTCTACGGGTAAAGTGGGGCTGATATTCAGAGTTACACCAGGTCTTCATTACTGCTAACATGTTGTATATGAAGCCCAGCAGGATGCACACATGAGAGTTTTTCTCTGCAGGCTGTTTCTCATATCCTAATTTTCAGCACTACTCTTTCTGTCTGACTCACTCCCCCTTTCTCTCTCTCTCTCTCTCTCTCTCTCTCTCTCTCTCACACACACACACACACACACACACACACACATGCACACACATCAAAGTGCTGCTCTGAGTAAAGATGGAACAGGCTCCTTTGATCTCTCCCTGCCGACTCTGATTAATGTGTGGATTTACAGTGCAGACCTACAGGGACCTGGCAGCCAAGACACCCCTCTGCTGCACTGGAATCTAGTTTTCATTGCAAATAATTACAGCCCCTTTATTTTATTCATTGCTGCAATCATGATGCTTCCAGTAAAAAAAAAAAAAAAGGCACTCATGAAACAAACCCAAGCCTCTCTCAAACATAAGCACCAAAATCTCCCAAACCTCACCGCTGCCACAAATCACAGGATACCGTATACGCCGTGCCTTCCCAATCAGAGAGATTACACAAACTTTCAGTTTTGCAAAGTCTCTCCCCTGAATCAAAACCTTTAGTTTCATCTCAGAGTAGATGAGAAGTTAGTTAGCTGGAGATAGCTGTGATCGGTGCGGCGAATGTTTAATTCAGCCGCTCTTGGCAGTCGGTTGAAATGGTGGGTACAGTGTTGGTGTTTGGTGCGAGGCTTGCTGACAAAAAAACGGAGCGAATGTTGGAGAAATTTAGCATTGAGCATCAAAGGAAGTGTTT